GAAGGAATATGCATTACCCATCAATCAAGAGCCTAAGAAATCTCCCGCAAGTTTTTACCAAAAAAAAGAAGTATGAGAAATAGACAAAACATATACCTGCTAAAATAAATTATCCACACATAGCATAATAACATTACAGAGCTCACTCAACAACTTTAAAGCAATGCGAGTAAGAACTCCATACTCATATGATTTATGTACACTTCTCCAACTTGAATAACTGCATTATGGATAGAACAGTCATCCCGTATATGATAGTTTCTTACAAGATTTTCACTCAATACAAGTAAGGTAAGACTTTGTCCATGAAGATTGATTTCAATGGTTTTGAGCCCATGATAATAAGGTAGACGGAGAATTTTGAGTCTGAGAGCAAAAATGTTTAGAACCTTTACACAAAAAAGATGGCAATGCCATAAACGCACATACTCTAGCACTGGACATGATGAGAATAAATCATCTGTCAGATTTTCGTTCTTTAAGATTGGGAAAACAAATAGATGTGGGTCATCTGAGAATATAGCTCATGCAAAAAATAAATATGTTTAATGTTATAGAGAAAAAAAACAGGAGCCAAACCCTCATGGCTCAATAACACGTGCTTCAACCATAGAGTACTTAACATTATGTTTCACGACAAAATCAATCCATTTGGTCAGAGAGGAGTCTGCTTTTTCTCCCTGTAATTTGAATTTTATGGTTAGTATATCTAATTCATCATGATTCAAGAGTGTATGATTTATGAATTCCACAAAATAATCAGGTCCACTTTCAGCATTAGCAAATTGCAAGAAATCCAATACAAGATTGGAAAGAGACTGGTAAGTGTATCTCCATTGTTTTGACAAAATTTACGTTCTTATTGCATCTTATATGGGAGCACACAAAGAATAAGCTTGTGAAGATCTTCAGGTAAGCTACTTAGTTTATCTTTAGGTTCTATGTTGACACTTTCACTCTGAGATGAAGTCTTTTGAAGTCCACTTCTTCTATGATTTAGGCATGTCAAAAACAAATTTTCATTAGCAAGATAAATTATTCCAATATTATATTGACAAGTAATTTCATATCATATCGAAGTTAAAGCATGAACTTTTCATTTCATTGGTAAAAAATAAACATTTTGAAATTAATATATTGATGAGTAAACAGGTGCTTGTTTGACCCTCTCTTCCATATTTCCACATATTAGATACAAAGAGAGCGAGAGAAAATATTAGAGACAAATAATAGCATTATAGTAAGTTGATTGTCAATTTTGCATAATTTCTTAAGCAACATTCTTATACGAACAGAACTAAACAAAACTTAGCACTAAGAAAGACATAATAGACTTAGGCTATAGTTGAAACAAGTGAACTTTTGTGGAATTTATTTGAAAATCCACATAAAGTTTGACTATAAGATGATAAATATCATTGAAAGATGATAAATGTTTACCTCCTGAGAAATCCCAAATGATGTTAAAACAATGAACTCTAAATCAATATGGAATTCAAAAATCTCTATTTCAATTTCACAATAATTTTCTTGGATGTCAACTTTTATCATTCAAATAAGATTTTGACTCTCTTAATGAAACAAAGTGGGAATTTCAAGATGAATTCCAAAAATGAAGCTATTTTCTTCCAAACATAGCCCTTGAAATTACTCTCAACATGACAAAAATGTAACAGTGACTGCCAATGCGATAAAGCTTGAAGAAATTCAATGTCATGTCTCACAATGAAAAAGATGTCAATTATTTTTCAATGAAGCTACTAAGAAGAAACAATACTTTAGATTGCACGCCATTAATGAGAAAAGTA